CTTTTTAGTTTTGTGTTTTGTTGTATATATTCTTTGTAAGGAATTGCCTACTGTAAGTGTCTCTCGTAGTTGGAACACGATGACCTTGGATCTTTTCCCGCTATGAGGGGCACAGTTGAATGTAAATATTAGAGTTGCAGTTGTTTTAAGTTGATAAAAAAGAGCATCAAATGAATCATCCATCATATTTATATCATCAATATAGGCAGGAACAATGTAAACCTGCCTTCTTAAAGACCTATTGCTAACAATGAGCCATTACGCTACACAAGCATCCCATAATGCATTTTCAGACAGTCTGAAATCAATTTTGGTTAATCCATAAAGTTTACTGCCATTGTTTGGATTGTCGCTTGGATAATTTGCCACCCTCACAAAGGCTCATTAGTCTTTCAAAGTCTACTGCTGATTTTGAAAGTTTTGTAAATTATCTTATACTGTAGACTGTTTTCTTGAATGGCAAACATGGTCGCCTTTCTGGAACTATTTTCTATTTCCTCTTTTCTTTTTCAGACTTGCATCAACTACTTTTTTAGAAATGTTTTCAGGCTCTGCAGAAAGACCAAAAGCCCCTGACAAATAGCCTTATCTTGTCAATTTTTTTAATAACTTCAAAGTTTTTGGCCACATTTAATTTTAATGCCTTCAAGACATCTGCAATTGAAATTTGCATATATTGAAATTTGCAGCAGAAAGGCAAGCAGCAATTGAGACTTTCCGTTTTGCATTTTTGACATCTTGTCCATACCATGAGGTGCAAGGACTCATTCTGATTTTGAGTTATGCCTTTTAAACATCTCTTTAGTAGCATATTATCAGAAAGCAGGTCATACACTGGTTTCAACAAAAGAAATAAAACAGCTGGAAGCCTTTTTTCAGAATAGGTCTCTGTTTCTGCTTGTTTGTCTTTCCAAAATTTGCACCAGATATGACCATGCTCAAGATTGCCCCCATGGCATCTGCCCTTATAAAATACATGTATGCCAAAAGGCTATCTTAGAGCATTGCCCTCTTTATTGTGATGAAGAACATTCAGAAGGAGTTTACAATATATTAGAGAAGCTTTTCGCGATGTATCTTATAGGGTCGTTTCAAAAACAACAACAAAACTATTTTTTTTGCGCATGCGCAAAACGCTGGTGGCAAGAAAACAACAATGACAGCAGAAGCAACAGCAAGTTCTATGTTGTCTTACTTTCGAGGTCTCAATTCTGTTGCTCGTAAACGATATTTAGACAAATTGAAATATGCGAGGGGTACAAAGTGTTAACCGGACCCGTATCAGTTAAGTTTTGGCTGGTCAGACAGTCCAAGGAACTGGCCAGAAGAGCTGAAAGCCTACAAATCTCTGGAAGCTTACAAGTGAGTTTTTTTAATGAATCACTAGTTATGTACCGGCATAAGTTGAGAATTTTACTGAATTATTTTTGTCTGAAATGTATTCAAAGTTTGCTGTTGATTTAGGCCTTTTAGCCGAATGACTATTATTGGCCTATATTTCATTTTTACATCATCTATTTTAAACTTATGGTGTATCCACAGTTATAACTGAAACCCATCATTGTCACAGGTATGTTATAAGTGGACACGTTGGCAAAGTTTATATGCATCCAGTTGGTACAAATGTTCCCTACTGTTTCCTCAAGGCACAAGTGAAACCATCCCAAAGATTATCTGGATCCTTCCATCAACCTTGGGTGTGTGTTGAGAAAAGTACTGGCTCAATTTATTGTGCACATTGCAACTGCATGGCAGGGTAAGATATATTTTAATATTTCATTTCTTTCATTTTGGGAATAACATGAAAAGACACCTTGTTCTCGTCACTTGTTCACCTTGTACTCCCCAGAGTATGGAAACATTGGATAATGACCATAAATACTAACATACAAACATATCATTTGTAGACTTGGTGAGACATGCAGTCATGTTGCGGCTGTACTATTTAAAGTAGAAATGGCAGTCAAGGTTGGTATGACATCAACCTCTTCAACAAGTGAAGCCTGCAAATGGAATGTAGCATTTAAAGATGACGTGAATACAGTTTTTCATTTTAAGAGGGATAATCAGATGAATAACAGAACCAATGAGTTAACCTTCCAAAGAAACTTTTTAGTTGAAATACATTGTTTAATCCATTTTTGTCCTCTTTGTGTTTTATAAAGCACTCTCTAGGTTACTGTAGAAAATTGAAATTTAATTTACATGACATGATTTGATAATTTTTGCAATTTGAAGTGTCTATCTGTTGTTAATATTGGGTAATTATTATCATTATTATTATTATTGTCATTACTTTTAACATACTAGGTTCTCTGATATACAGATTTACAATTTATTGCTTTTTTATACTTGTACAGCTTGAGCCACTCACTATTTCTGAACAAGCATCATTGTTTCAAGCCAATCACAAGAGCATTAGGGAATGTCACAATCCAACTGGATCTGATCCCCTCCCCTCCATTGAAGAGCTAAAAGAATTACAACAAATCTGCCCAGACGCATGTCTGTTTGGTATAATTCCAAAGTAAGACAGTGAAGAAACTGACACTGCCTCTGAAGATGAATGCTGTGGTGTCTTTCCTGAGCTCTTACATGGTTTGTTTGAGGAGAAATTCTGTAATCTTGAAGGTAGCCAGCTGGCATCTTATGCTCAGTCACTCTGGGCAAGGTACAAAATCAGTGAGCAGCAAATCAATAATTTGGAAAAGCAGACAAGATCACAGTCAGCCAGTAAATTATGGCACAAGCATAGAGAGGGAAGGATCACAGCTTCAAAAGTACATGATGTTGTTCATATGTTACCTTCTACTGACCCATCTAATCTTGTTTGTAATATTCTTGGTTATAGTTATCATGATTTGTCTAAGGTACCTGCCATAAAATATGGAATAGATAATGAGAGATCTGCCAGAGAGTGGTATTTTGATGAAATGGTGCCTCTGCATGACAATTTTAGCTGCCATGAGAATGGATTCTACATTTCCAAGACACAACCTTTCCTTTCCTGATGGCATGATCAATTGTTCTTGTTGTGGCAAAGGATCTTTAGAGATCAAATGGTCTTTCAAGAATAGGCAAAGGTCAGTTGAGGAAGCAGCCAATGAAGATCCTGATTTCTGCCTTGACAAATCATTTATTTTGAAGCACAACCATAGGTACTACACACAAGTGCAATTCTAAATGTATACTTTAGAAGTGCAGTACAGTGATTTTGTAATTGCCACTGACGTTAACAAAAAAGTCGTCAGAGTTTCATATAATCACCAGTTCTGCACCAATCTGGCTTCATTGTCAAAAAGGTTCTTTTTCGACAATGTGCTCCCTGAAATTATCACCAAAAAACTTTATTCAGAGCGTGCAGAATCTACAATAAGTGATGAAGATTTATGGTGTGTCTGTCGCAAGAAAGCTTCTGGAAAGATGATTATCTGCGCAGGAAACTCATCTAGGATTAACAAATTTCACTACAAATGTGTTGACCTACAAAGGAAGCCAAGGAAAGAATTGTTTTGCTTGAATTGCTCCACCAAGTGAAGTACCCTGGCCTGTTGTCAATGGTAAACTGTTTGATGACAAATTTGATGATAAGAATCTTAAAAATTTACTGATTAACTAATTTTTGAAAAGTTCAGTTATTTTTTATATAAGTAAGTAAGTTTTTTTGCATAAATCAAATTATGAATTTGATAGTTTGTTGGTTCAGCAAAGCATTATTTTCATTCTATTCCTTCAAGGAATTATGTTTCATTTCTAGGGTGTTTGTTTCTGATTTTATTATTTCTGATTTCTGATTATGCTACTCTTTTCAATGAAATGCTGTTTCCTTGTGATATATTATTTTTTTCAAAATTAACAAAGGCCTGCTTTTAAAAGAGACTCATCCTATATTATCAGTAGTTCATTCTCTGTTAGTCTCCTATAAAAAATTCTGGAATTTGAAGCATGATTTGCAGCTATTCATTTTATTCAAGCAAGTTAAAACATTCAAAGATCAGGCAACCTAGTTAAGTAACAATACTTTCAGTCAGGCAATCTTCTAACATCTCTTGTATAAAAGAGGGGATATGTCTCGAAACTTTTTATCAGCAGCTAAGAAAAATGTGGGCCTTTTGGGCTTCAACTTTGCCCCCTACCACCATCCCTGATTTAGCACATTCATTTAACTATCTGATAATACATAGAATTGTAATCTTACATGTCATTAAAACTAGTTGATTTGATGATACAAATTAAAAGAGTTGGTGTGCAAAGATGTAGAATACATTAATACTTTAATATTGTGCTTGCAATGATATGAAATTAACACAAAGATTTTTTAGATTTTTAAATTTACCAACTCTAACCTTGAGAAAGAATAACAGGTATTGCTTTCATTCAAATTGTTCTCGATAACCTTGTACAATATAAGCAAGATGTTCCAATAGCTATGATAAAAAACAAAGATAAACAATTTTGATTTGACTTGGTGTGTGTTCTCTCTACTTGATAAGCTTTGGCAGAAGATTTGTTACAGCAGCACAAATGGTTATAATGTTGTCAAAATTTGGAACCATGTTGATTTGCATAGTTGTGCTTAAGATACGGAAATTCTTGATTCTACCAATGGCTCGCTCTACATGAATACGGACCCTTGCAATTTGACGGGATTCTTCAACTTCTTGCTGGCTTAATTGGACCTTGCCTTTAGTGAAAGCTGGTATTACCAAAGTAGCATTATGGTTTGCAATGTCATCTGCAACAAGGAAGCCTCTGTCAGCCAACACCTGATCATTATATTCCAGAAGGTCTAGAAAGCCACTTCTTTGTGTAATAACTTTGTCAGATACACGTCCACCAAATGCTTTTGACAAAAAAATTATAGCGCCAATTGGTGATATTCCAATCAAAACTTTAAGGGTGTTATTATGCTTGTAGTTTGATTACCCCCCCCCCCCCCCCCCCCCCCCGCATGGACATATTCATTGCACATTATATTCTATTGGGGACATTATATAAAACGCAATTTACATCTTGCAGTTGTGTTTTTCATGATTCTTACAGCGTTGGATGGAACTTTCTTGAAATCAGTTTTTTAGGGGCCCCATCTCAGTTTTCCTTCAGTGTCCCAGATGACTCCGTTATGCCACTGATTTGAAGGATACTATTTTAGATGAAAGATTTTGAAGTTTACAATGTAAATTACTCCACAGTTTAGCATCATGGTATTGAATTGACCTAAGCCAATATTGAAGACTGTTTTTTGGGGACATTTATAAATTGCCTTGATTGGGCTGTCTTCTGGAATATCCATCAACAGCTGAACTCGTTAGGAAAACATCAAGAAAGCAAGTAAGTAAAGTTTTAGTAACAGAATGGCAAAAGTTTTTATCAAGGTACGAGTTAGGAGACTGATGCTTATCTGAAAGGGGTCCTAAGAATTTAACAAACTGAACCCCTTTTGGCTATATATAGAACTTGAAAATGGCTTTGAAAAAAGCAAACATTTTATAACATATTGGCTAAAAGCCTTTTCGTCTGAGACTCCTCAAGGCATAAAACGTCAGAATAAGGGTCTGAAACGGCCAAAAGAACACAGTGAAAAATATATACCCCGTTGTGGATCGAATTAGGCTAATCAGAAAAGAGCAAAGCACAAGACTGGTATAGTTGATCAATCAGTACAAGGTGCCTAAAGGAAAATTACCACTGGAGTCAAAGAGAAAAAAGGCACTTTCTGTCCACACAATGGCGGCTTTTTCATTTGTATGTAGATTGATTCCAAAACTGCTAGATAGAAAGGCGACCGGGCTCTGCCAATTATCCGAAACATTTCGTCATTATAAAGTTTAGCACAATCTGAGTTGTCTAAAAGATGTTGACCGATGGCATGTTGTTCCTTCCTTATTCTGACGATTTCTGCTCTGAGGAGTGTCAGACGAAAAAGTTTCAGCCAATATATTATAAAATGCTTGCTTTTTCAAAGCCATTTTCAAACTGAACCCTTTTAATGTGTTTCTCCCTATTTTGATAGCAGCGTTAGAAGTAATACTTACAGATGGATAGTGAAAGATTATGTAGTTATTTTTCCCAATATTCGGTGATATTTTTCAATAGCATCCAGCCATTTCTGGCTGATCTCAGCTTAGGAGTTAGTCAAATTAGCCAAATCATTGGATTCACAGTAGATGTTTGTGTCATTAGCATAAAGATAAAACTTGAGTTTCTTGCAAGCATATGTGTTTCTAACGACCACTGATTTATATAAGAAACAGTTATATGGCCCTAGTACAAATTCATGGAACACCACAAGAAATTTTAAGCAAGTCAGAATAACATTCATAAAGAGAAACAAATTTCTTCCTATCAGATTAGAGAGATATGAGCCAGAGAAGAAAACTTGCATAAGTTTGCAGCAACGCTGGACTGCTTGTGCTTGCTCTTCAGGCCACTAGTGACCCAAAAAATCAATAAATTCATATTTTATACTATTTATGTATATCATGGGCATCATTGCTCGCAGCTCTAATGCTTCTGCTCACAGGCCACAAAAGACAATGTGCTGTTGGTCACAAAAACGCGTCAGCAAAATCATTTGTGTTTCTAACCTGGGATTTGAGCTGAGCCACTCTCGTGATACAATTTGTGAGAATATGTGGTTTTATGTCCATTTTCACTCAATAAATGTCACTTTTCTATCATTTTGTTTCTAATATTGTTAGTTGACCCCCATAGGAGTATCAAACGACCACTGCGATATTTGAGTTGATTATCAACTATTGATATAAGATCTAGAATAACGGCATTTATAAGTTCTAGGTTGCTCACTCCTTTTCAATGAATTTTTAAACATATGATATTTTTCTGTGTATAAATCGAGTTTAAGTTGGCCCAGAATGAAATAATATTGACATTGATTGACAAAAATCAGTTGCTTTAATTATTTTAAAACTGCAGTTTATAAACTTCTATCAAAAGTTGTTCAAACGAAAGTCTTTTTGTTCAAAAGGAAATTGTTTTTCTGTATGAATTTCTTGTAAACTACACTTATAATTATGAATACAAAGCAAGTTTTCTAAAAATCATATCATCTGCGTATAAGTTTAGGTAAACTTTTCTTGTGTATTTTAGGGATCTAGAAACTTGGGGCTTGTTAGTTTGAGATATAAAGGGATAAATTTAAAGAGGGGCTAATATGAGGCTTATAATTTTTTAAAGCTGTAATACACTCAGAATGTGAAGCTGTGTTTGAGAAGTTTTTCAGACACAAAAGAAAGAAGTGTACATCTGCCTCCAAGGGTTTCAGAATGAATATATTAATAAATGTATCCGTATGATAAAGCTATTGCATGCACAAGATGAATAGGCCCTTTTGGGATGTTTCAACTTACATTTTGTAGTACAATGTTTATATTTACCATTCTGGTGGTTCTTAAGAGAAAGGCATTTTAAAATGCAAGTTTCAGTTTTAAAAGGTGTAATATAATAATGACTTAAATGATGTTCCATGTTTACAGTCTCTCTAGATCTGAAAATTGATTAACAGCTTCTGGAAAACCAAAACATGCAAATGATAATGAACAGTTGTGGTCTTATCTTATTCATAAATTTGGGGAGAGTTATCCTTTGAATTTTTGATAGCTTTCTAGCAGTGGGAAATATCTGGAAATGTAGAAAGAAGCTCCCAGAAAGATTTACTTACCATGTATTTGCTTTGTGCTATGAATAAAAAATAAAATTAAATCCAAAAATATAAAAAAATTTGGTAAATTAAACTTTTGAAGGCATCGTCTCAAGATCTATATACAGGGACGTACCTACCCCTGGTGGGGGGGGAGGGGGTAGTAAAGTTGGTCGGTAAATGTAATCGATGGTCGGTACATGTTATGGATTGTCAGTAGATGGGTATCTTGACTTTATATAGTATATTGGTGTGTATACATTGACTAGCAAGAGTTGAATTTTGGTCTGTAAATTCACCGATTTACACCCCCCTACTCCAAATCATCAAGGTACACCCCTCTCTATAGATATGCATTTTACTGAATTGCAACCGTTCTATTTGATGACTAGCAGTGATACCTAATTTGAGAATCCCCTTTTCAAGACAATTTCCTGAGTGCTTGTGTCTTGAAAATTCAGATCTTCGGGCGACAGTTTACACAACTTCTGGGTTGTGTTATCTGGGCACAAAGTTACCATTCTGCTTCTGCTCTTTGATATAGAACAGGGGTGGCAACCCTCGGGCCAGGAAGAGAATTTTTGTGGCCCGCAAGATGATGAACTCATATTATGACTTTTTGGTTGGCCGGGATGATTTGCCAGGCGGTCACAAATATTGAATGAAACATATTGATTCAGAAGGAGGTTATTTTCATCAAACCTGGGAATCACAGAAAGATTTTTCACTTTCTGTTGTGACGATTTCACCATAGTTCATAGAAATGAGACTGGTTAGGAATCTTTGATATGAAAACAAAAGGCCCTTTGTTTCATCTTGAAAAGCTAAGCTTTTTGGTCATGTGATCAAAGAAGGTACAAGGTGTTGCAGCAATGGCGTGCGAGATGATTCACTTTGTTGACAATGTTGATTTCGAGGAAATCATGAATGTTGTTGAAGATAATGAAGATATCCAGAATTTTTTTGCTCAAGAAACAATCGAGGTAAGTGATTTTCGAGGAATGATTGCTTTTCTTTCTTCATAACGTACCTAGCGATAGCTTTACGTCTGAACAGCTACTTTTAGTTGTTAGGCCTAGTGATTCAGCGCTAATGTGACACTCAACACCCATTTACCCTCATCATGCTTCCCGTCTGTTACCAATTGATTTTAAAATATTTGAACCAATGCCTATGATTTTTCTTACGTTGTTCTTCGCATTTTATTTAAGATCTTACGGCCTATCATTTCAGATACTCGTCGACGACACGGAAAAGCAATGCAATCATTGTACAAAACGATTCAAAACATGTGCAGGGTTAAACAGACACATTGCGGCAATTCATAAAGAGAAAAGTGATGGCAATAGTAGTGATATACTTACTGCTAACAATATTCAAATACTGATGCTGAAGACATGCAGCGACATTGCAAATAATAAGTGCTACGGGGAGGCTGTTAACTTGGCTTTTGCTAGTTACCATGCAAATGATGTATTCGAAAATGATGGTTTTGTAAGCAGTGATTTCTATGCAAGTATTCGGAAGCTAACTAACAAGCTGACTAGCACCAGTAACAAAGAGTGTTTTTATGGTGATTATTACAGTGATGTTGTTTTTAACTGTCAGTCACATTTTCCATCTCTGGATTGCACTCATGGCTCACTCTTAGCAACTGAACTGTGTGAAAAAATCATTAATGAAGTCCAGTTCCTCTCTTCATCAAATGTAACAACAATGCAGCCAACAATTGCTTTAAATGAAAGAGATGTGTATTGCATTGAATACATTGGTGGTTATGTTTTGAGGAAGGTTTTCTTCAATTTGAAAACAAAGAAAACAGCCAGTGACACTGCTCTTGCCATATTAAAAAGTTTTAAAAGCGATGAAAGCAACGAAGAGAGCCTTATAGGAGTTTTAAATCGCGGTGGACTTTGGAAAATTAGCGATATGGCAAAGAGTCTGTTCATTTTGGCTGAAAAAAAATTGAGAGCAGAAACCAAGAATGAAGCAAGGTTGCAAAAAATAAGAATTGCCCCTATGGCATCTGCCCTTACAAAAGACATGGATGCACAAATGTTGTTGAAGGCTATCTTGGAGGATTGTCCTCTTTATTGTGATGAAGAGCATTCAGAAGAATCTGACAATATACTAGAGAAGCTTTTCACAATATATCTTAGAGTGAGATGCTTTTCGTTAACCAGAGATCTTGTAACTAAACTTAAAAATAAAGCTAAAGCAGACTTGGACAAAAAAAAGGCACTTCGTAAAGAGCTAAAGCGTGGTGATAACAAAAAGAAATAGAAAATATATATATATATATAAATTTATTTGTGCCATACATGTCATCAGCTTATGTATATATAGTTTTGGATGGCTATAAGAAGTCCTAAATGAGTTGACTTTATCTACTGATTCCGTGCTGTGTAATTCTTCCCAAATGTGAACCTACTGATTGAGATTATAGAATTAGTTCCCAATGGCAAATTTTGTAAATAATAACTTTATCCAAAATCGCTGTATGAGTTTATGTAAATTGTAAAGGAAAACCCCTGGAAGAGGGCTATTTCAAAATGTGCTGCTCAAGTAGAACTGAGATTGGGAACTTCACTGATTACTTCACTGAGATTGGGTACTTACTAGAAACAATAGTTTCTGTAAATGAGGTTTGTTTGACACAAATTGTATCCAAACACAGCAGTGTATGTGACTGGAAGAACTTAATATGAATGGAATTGGAAGAAGAAGCTCTTCAACTTAAATATATTAAACTACGAACAGGTGCTATACCCAAATAGTTGTAAAAAAGTCGTAATCAGTTGGCTTTTTTTAAGTCTGATAGTTATTGGAGCATATTAATTTTTTTGAATTATTGGAGCATATTTAAGAGGGAGCTTATTCTAAAAGAGCGCTTGATTAAATAATTATAATTGGAAGTGATTATGTTACAAACAACGTTTGTTAGCAGGATTAAATAATTTACTTGAAGTTATTTCTTTTTTTGTCTTTATTTAGTGGCTTAGGATCCACAAAATGCCATTAAAACCCTTTTTGTAACACTTGGATCTTGTCACTTGTATTGCCTGTCTCTTGTGAAACAAATCTTTGGGTACTGATAATGTTTGCATTGCAGCCAAATGGATGTACAGATCACCTTTTCTACTCATGCACCTTCGCTGTCCAAAAATTTCCTCTACTAGATCCCGATTGAAGCGCTCTGTCAAAACATAAGGCATTCCATTGTTGAGGCAAAAATGTATGCATTCTATAATTGAAAATACAGTTGTTTGGACACCAATATATGTTTGTTTCGAGATAAACATTTTCTCTTTCTCAACTTTCTTGTGATTCCCTGGTTTCATTTCAATAGATGCTTTCCAGACATTCAGATACTTCAAGAGAACATCTTTAAGCCATCAAAGTCTTTTATCATTGGTGGAGATAAATGAAGCTTAAGATGGTTTTTTTTCCAGCTGCGACTCTTTCAAGCTTTTTACATTTAAACTATCAAGGAACCTGTCAAACATTTCACAGAAGGTTTCTGTTGCCATACATTCTTTTGTACAGAAATTCTTCAGGACACTTGCAACATTTCACCAAGAACCGGGCATGCATGCATGACTTTCATTTTGGAGTAGCTGATAAGCTTGATATGTGCATTTGAAAAATTTGAGTAATAATTTGAAACAACCTTCTAAGTCATTATTGGAGACATCTGTAATATGTCTTCACAAAAGAAATAAGCCTTTAAGGCACATACAGCGTGCTTTATTGCCAGAATCTGAAATCAGTAGGCTATTTCTGGCAGTCTTCCTCAAATGAGGTGCATCACTGATAAAGAAAATGTACAGGCTACGTCAGAATATGTTTTCTGTATGGTTAAAACAGCATCTGACTTTGTAGGACTTCTGTTCAGGTTTTTGTAGAAGCTGAAAAGTTGTCTGTTCGCAGCAGCACCATCACACACAGCAGCAAGAACCCCAAGATTACAGTTCAGCTCCATATTTCAAAGGCTTGTAAATCCTACAATCTCGTCGCTATATTTATCAAAAAAAAAACCTAGATGACATTTTCATCTCATCAAAGGCTGTACATACATATCGCTGATGAACAGATAAACTTCCAGTTGCTTGTTTCAACTGGTCCACAACTTCTGTTATGAGCCCTGTCTTTGGTGGGATTACATTTCTGTAGCCTCGAAGGGTTCTCTTGCTTGGCAGGCAACGTATACCAGAGTTTTTAGCTCATCAAACATTGCATCGCACCTCAATGTCATAGACAAACAAAACCTTATAGCCATAGGATGGTATCTCTTTGAGCTTTGGCCCAAGTTCTTCACCTGCTCCTTCCAAAAAATCTTCATGAATGGGGTAGCATTGGAAAGGTTTTTCTCCATAAGCTGGTTCAGGTCATTGCTCAGTTGATTATCAATTTTTATACCTGTGTGTGCAATCACTTTGCTCATCTTCTGTACCTTCTCCTCAAGCTGGCTTCATTTCAGTATTTTTTCATCAGTGTCATGCAAAGTCTTGAAGCACCAACTTTTACTTGATTCTTCTGTCTGTTTTCTTTGCAATTTAGTTAGCAAATGCTCACATTTTGTGCAATTTGCCAAAATGTACATGGTAGCAGCACCTGAAATTATTGTTTATTTACATAACATGTATATTG